ATCACGATTTAAATACAGTATTTACTTTTAATATTACCGATATGTCATCGAAAAGAAAACGTGTTGTATTATCATTAAAAGACAAATTAAAGTATTTGTTTCGATTATCCGGATTTTTCCTTATCCGGACTACCTTCATCCCCAATTAGTCCGGATAATCGAGGTTCTACTGTATTAAAAAATAATTTTTTTTTAAACTTTTATTAAAATTTATATACAGTATATCATATTTTCAATTAGAGTTTTTATAATTGCAAATTACTGAAAACAAAATTAGAATGTTATAAAAATTAAAATATTAAATATTTTCTTAATTTAAAAATTTTAAATTTCTCTCAATTAAAATGAAATTTCACATATAAATTCCTTTTCATTTGATTATGTTTTGTATATATTATTCATATGAATAGTTCAGTATTTATTTGCAAATTTAAATAATTATGTATAGAAATTTTTATTTATTTATTTAGTCAATTTTAAGATATTCATTTTGTAGACTTAATTTTCAATTAGTTATGATGATGATAATAAATATAGTATTCTAGTTATAACATTAATTATCTATAGTAATATTTATACAACATTAAAATATTGTTTTTGATTTCTTAAGTGATATAATTATAAAAAATTAAAATACATGAAACTGATTTAAAGCTATTAGTGGTTTTATATATATAATTTCATATGTTAAGATCAAATCTAATAAATAGTTTTTTTTACCATGTCACGTATTTTTGGATCAGCACCAGCTTGTATTAGAATTTTATAAATATTAATACTTTCTTTTCTTGATGCAGCTGTTGCATAATGTAGAGCTGTTCTTCCATCCTGACAAAATTTGAACCAAATCAATCAATTATATCATATAATATTTATGTAGAATGATATTTCAATTATTGTATGATTTTTATCATTAAGATTTTAATTTCCTTAAACTGTTTACCAATTTAAGAATTAATTTAAGTTTTATTAAATATAGTAAGGTTAATTGAATATCCTTATTTATAATTTTAGAAAGATGGTTTTGAGAATCATCTCATAGTAAGTAAACTAAAAATTAATTGCAAGTAGCTTTGCCCTTTTTTATTGCATTAAAGAAAGTACTTACAGTTAATGTTTTGTTTTCTTCTTTTCTTTGAGATTATATTACATTGTATATATTACATTAGAGCATTGATTATCCAAATCAATTGAGGACTGGGGTAGTTCGGAAAATCGATTTTTCAGATAACCGATTATGTACAAAAAAATATATTAACCTATCCCATGTTGAAATTTGTTCAAATCCTGGCATGTCCTTAAGTACCTTCTCATGGTTGCACCAGTGCTGCCAGTTAAAATATGCACACCAACAAAAATAATATTGGAGTAGCCCAAGACATAGCCAAAGATTTCAGCGCCACAGCACTAGCGGAAATTTAAATTTGCTGACTGAAAAGCTTTTGGTTAATTGACGTTTCAGTTTATCAACATTCGGACAATTGATGCTCTACAATATATACAAAAGAACACACCATAGGAGATTATGAGGAGAAGCTTGTAGGCAAAGCATCAGGGCCAAGTGTACAATTTTATTTAAATAAAACTCACAACATCTGCATATTGTGTATTAAAAAGAAGTTTCTATTTTCACAACATATCAGTTAATTACAGAACTGTGCAGCTGGACCTAAATTAGTTGAAAGTGATTCAACCACACATTAATTATTCTGTACAATTAATTTCCATTTGGCAGTATTAAATGATGCATCTCATATAATCATTACACTGTACACTTGCTCCAGATGCTTTGCCCACAAGCTTCTGTTCATAATCTCCTATGGTGTGTTCTTTTGGAAAACTATATATATAAGAATAGCACAAAAGTCAGCCCCCTACCTCTAAGTAGTAAGGGGTAGTGGTATGATATTTTGAAGCCACATTAAGGGTCTAGAAGAGCTGCATGTGGCTCATGAGCCATAATTTGACCACCATGGCTATATTGTCATTATATTTAGATAATTGAATCCCCAAATTTATAAACATTTGTTTTATTTTTTGTTAAACTTTTTGCCATTTGCATTTTTATGATATAATAATAAAGAAATCCAATATATAAAACAAGGAGTAATAATATTTATGAATATTGTAAAACTAAAAGGCTTTGCCACCTCTATAATTTAAAAGTCTGATAAACAAATTAAACAAGTCCAACCACTAGTATGGTAAGGAGTCATATCATTTTTATTTTGATAAAATATTTTTCAAGCATTAGATTAAAAATTGCAATAATTCTAACATATTGTTCCATTATTAGCTTATCAATGGTTATACTTGTTTAACTTTTACTATGGAGTCAATAGAAGATGAAACTAGAATGCCAATAAGCTAAAGAAAAAAACAACTTCACAAATTCAAAATTATTTACATAATACTCATTTTGTGCTAATTTTTTTGGCAGTTTCAATGGGTTGACTATGGGAAGAACAAAAACTCTGGCTTAAGTGGTATCTATGAGAAAAGGACTGTTTTGAAATGTTACTTCATCAACTAATTGGAACTATTTTGTTGTTACAAACTCACTTTTATAGTTTATTGGAAGTTTTTTAATTTAAAAAAACATATCTTTTAATTAAAAATTTTTTATTGTACAGTACCTTGTCTGTGATATTGATAATTTCAGGAAAATTATCAGTTAAAAATTTCACAATTTTAGTGTGACCAAGAATAACTGCTTTATGAAGACTTGTCATTCCAAAATTATCCTTAGCTGGAACTAATTCTTCGTTATCTAATTGAGTTCTTAGTTCTGTCAAATCATCACGTGAAACTGCATTATGTATTGCACTAATTCTGTCCATCATCAGTGGTAACGAATGAGTAATATATTCTTGTACTATTTTATTTCCTGAATTCTCTCGACATATCATTTCTCCATGACCATCTATAACTGCTTGTTTTAATTTATCTAAATCTTCCTCACTCATCCATTTTCGAATATTTGCAGATGTTATTTCTAAACCTGATATGAAAGCAAAAATATTATATTAAAACACTTAATGTAAACAAAACTAAATATAAAAATAATTTATTTAATGCGTAATACTAACATTTCATTATGAATTATTACTGTATTAAACTAACTTAAAATTTGAAATTTATGTAGCACATTATGCTGAGTTTGAACTAATTGTATGTTTTGATTATCATTCTATTTTTTTGTTTGAATTTTTTTATTACTTATACGTGAGGCATTTAATCTGAAAAAAAAAATGAAATATTTCCAAAGTGAAGTATTGCAGATAAAAATGTTTAAAATAAAATATGTTTGTTTTGAAGGCAGAAAGGTGATAGATTTATTTAAAAAACTATTAATTCTTAAATACTTCCAAGAATGCTTTTGCCTCACACCAGGGCCATAACAATTGCTCCCGCAGACCCTGCATGCGGAAGTCCAGCACTTTTTGGGTCCCACAACTGGAAGACATTTTTGTTTGTTACACTCAAATAACTCAAACTTAAGTATGTTTATTGCATGGAATTAAATTGGTTACACACAAATGTAGGAACAAAAAACTAACAAACAATACAGAACAACAATTTAGAGTGATTCATGACATAGAAAAGACTGACCACTAATTCTCACCTCCCTTCCCAACATATGATTGGAATGTCATAGTAGGAATATGGCATTTCAACCCAGTAAAATAAACTGACAACTTTATGACAATTTTGACCACAGTAGAACAAATAACAAACCATCTGCACAAACTTAATACACAAATTCTAACATTGTAACATATATTCAATACAGGTATACCTCACCTTATGTTGGTAATTGGTTTCAGGAGAGGCAAAATGACGTAAGTTGAATTTACTTGTCACTAGGCTAAACCACAAATAACCATTCCCAGTTCTGTATTTTATTTATAAATGCATTTTTAATAATATACAGATAACCCCCGTATAACACAGGAGTTACGTTCCAAAAAATTGCCATGTTATGCAAATCCGTGTTATACGAAACAAAGAACTAGTGCGGAAAGGGAGTTAGGTTCCAAAAATTAAAAAACATGCTGTTAAATCCTTATTTAAATTGGATTTATTATTCATTTTTTTCATAGGTAAAATACTTATTAATTATTTAAATTAAGTAAATATTTTATCAGAGGATTATTCATCCTATATGATGATCTCAGCATGAGCATCATCAACTGGTAACAGTTTTTGGGTGCATTCGTTAATAGCGGTTGCTCTGCAATGGGAGTGCATTGCTGTTTGTAGGCATTTAGGAACAATGGTGAAAGAAAGATGGCGGCGTCCGCACTATCGTTAGTATTGTGATGGAGGAATCTATAATTCTAAAATGAGCTTTTAGAGGCAAAAGAAGGGTCCCAATTGTAAAATTTAACCATTAAATGGATTATTTGTTGAAAGAGCATTCAAAATAGCCATGAAAACAATTAGAATGCTCGTATGGAGTTACGCGGAGGTATAAAAGAACGCACCCTTTATTACATTTCATGTTGTATGAGGGTTTTACCCAATTCCTGAACTGTGTTAGAGTGAACCCGTACTATAAAAGCACCGTGTTATAAAGGGATGTTCCCAATTCTTGAACCATGTTAGAGTGAATCCGTGCTATAGAGTGCTGTGTTATACAGGGGTTACCTGTATTGTTAATAAGAATTTATTTTAAACTTATAAACAAATTACTTTTTTCTGTACTATATTAAAAACTAAAATTTATCTAAATTTATGAATTCATGTACTGTACATACAGTACATACTTGTAAATGTACATGTTTACAATTTGGCGATGTTTACAGTACATCGTGGACTCTTTATTTGTGAATGTGGTTTGCTCTAAGACATTATAAAATAAGATAATTTTGTAAAGTTAAATAACAAATACAGTTATTAAAATTATCTTGCGACAATAGAAAATAAACTAATTTATATTAAATTTACCAATATCGAGTGGCGCTGATAACGACACCAAACGGTAGATATTGGAACTATCTTGGAAAACACCAATATTGAGCGCTTAAAGGCCACTAAATAAGACAACAACACAGTCACAGATGTTTTCATCTGTGACTGTGTTGTCGTCTTATTTAGTGATGATTATATTAACATTTACTGTAAATGTACATATCTTAATATGATTTTATGTGCTTTAACACTTTTCTAGTGATATTACGACTTCAATATTTGTGGCAGATGGACGTAAAGTTGAATAAAATGACTTGACTTAAACTTGACTTTTATTTTTCCATATATTTTTTCGTCAAATGACATATAATCGAGAACAACGTAACTCAAGGTATACCTGTACTAAAATAGTCTAACACTGCCCTGAATAAAAGATGATTGGTCAACTAGCAGAAAAGCAATTTTAATTAAAAACTTTTAGTTAATTTCTTGTAGAATGTATAAATATATGAAAATGCACAAATAATTATTTTGAATATAAATATTATTTTCAATTACAATTTGTATCTGATGGTACAAGATTTTCAAAATTAAATGAATGATTGATAACTCATCCAAGTGGTCAGCACATTGAACACAACCTGCTGGGTTTTGAGCATTTACTTGGTAACAAAAGCAAAGTGCTTGTCTGAATGTGAATTTAAATTTGAAGAATTTCAAACTATCGTTTATTTTGAATTGTGTAAATTGAAATAAACTATTGCTGGAACAAAGTGAAAGTTACTGAAAAGTTTCCTGCATTCTAGAAGAACAAGTGGTATTGATAAGTTTTGTATAAGAATATTTTTACTTTCTGATGCCAGAGAACTTGACATTTTTATTTATTTTATGAGTCCTACTGAAATAGTTTTTAGAAGAGAACACTGAGAGAAAAGGACAATAAAATAAAATACAAAACTAAACTGATTTTTCAAATAGATGACAGCTAAAAAAAACTTGATTTTGACAATGCAAGAGCCAGATGAATGTGAACAAAACAGTACAGAAGAAATTACAGACAATTTAGAAAGAGTGAGTACATCTACAGCTCATCATTTAGAAAATAGAAACAATGAAAGGCCTACAGCAGTAAGTACAGTAGACCCCCTATAAAACGGGTTCCTATAATTATGATTCCTATAAGACAGCAAAAAAATTGCGACGGTATCCTTAAAAAACGGTAAAAAAAACTCCTATAATTATGTAAAACGTCATCAGGCAGCCGAACTACTTTCTGCGCCGTCAAGCGTCACGCTACGGAGAGATTACTATCGTCTGTACAGTATTATATATAAATTATATATAAATTAGGTACTGTACATATAATTATATATTAATTATATATAAATTAGGTATTGTATATATAATTATATATTAACTTAATTTATTGTAACTTTATTATAATTATATATATATTTTCCGCCGCCTGGCGCCACGCTACGGAGAGTTTAGGTGAACTATCGTCTGTACAGTATGTAAATTAGGTACCATAAGTCTAATACAGCACTGTAATTTTATACATTTCTTATTCAACGGGATTAAAATTATTTCTATTAATGATGTCTCCAAAGTTCAATGAAGCTTTCGCAGAAAAATAACATCAGAAATTGCAGCCGTAGTTTGCTGAGCTGTTCCGCGACAAAAACAAGCTTGAGCAATGGCGATGTCGAATGGTGCACACTCGGTAAGTAATCCTACAATTTTTTGTTTATAGTGTAGTTTATATGGATTATTTCCAAAAAATATATACGTATTTTGGAAATGTTGAGTCGGATTAGTCTAGAATCGATTAATTTTATGGAAGAAAACCTTTCAAATAGCCGTAGTCCGTAAACGTGACATGTGATTGGAAGGACTCGTAAGAAATCGGATTCCTAAAGAATGGAACGTATCTACTGTCTTATAGGGGAGTCGACTGTACAGCACATTTATGTTATCTTCTGATCATGCATTGTACCCAATTGATATTACTGATGAAAATATACAAAAATAAACTTTAAATCTAGGATCATGCAGACCAAAAGGTCCTTTTTTTCATAAACTCCAATATCAAATGTTCTTTGTCTGTTAAATATTGTTTGTTTAAAACTGTTGGGAACAGTATTTAATTTAGTAAGCAAAAACCAGAGAGAACTCAAGGGGGTACTGTCAGCAACTGGTGCCACAGTTGAAAAGATGAGAAGGTGTACATGAAAGCAGAGCTAAGTCTCCTTGTATTATTTTTATGATAACTGACAAGTTTGTTAGAGTAATTAAACTGAAAGTGTCTCTACTTGTAAGAAACATGGCATAACATTAACAAAAACAAAAATGGGACAAGAAATAGAAAGAAAATGGCACTGTTATTCTCCCAAACTAACTGTCACATACTGTGAGCCATATTTGTTTTTTGCAGATAGAAATAATTAAAATTATAAACATAGTTGGGTACATCAGCTAGTTAAAAATAAACAAAAGTAAAACAAAATTATATTTATTAATATATATATAAATGGGCCCCATTAAAAATGATTTCAGGTTGCATATTTGTGTCTGAATATGTTAAAGTTGTCTTGAGATTTGCTCCTGGATCTGCAACAAGTGAAAGGGGCTCTCTAAAACATTTTGTGGGGCTTTGCAGTTTTCTGTTACAGGCCTGCTTCTCACTGTCAGATTCTATAACTGTACAAAAATAATAAATATTATACAAATGAACTGGGTTATTTTCAGATTATAAGAATACATTTTTATTTACTTGGACAGACTATTTAATTCATAAAAACAGGTTTAGAAATATTGTATATGGCAATGATGTATTATAATTAAATCCTATATTACATTGATCTCAGAAGGTATTATTCACAAGGGGAACCCAGGAGGTTGTCATCACAATTTCAACGAAATTTTGTGGATGTATAGTATTTACTTGCACTTAGACTCTGTCAAAGCTGCAGGACTCATTATTTAGGTGTTCTTGAGAAAATCACAATTAAAGTTTTTCTAGAATTATTAATACCTATGTAGAAGTGCCATTCACGTGTTCGTGGCGTAATTAGTTAAGGTGTTGCGTGAAGAGCATTAATATGTGGGTTTGGATCCCACATGAGAAATTTTTTTTTACATTTATAATTTAATCTTGTTATTAAATTGTTATGTTTTTAAAGTCATCAAAAATTTATTTATTTTTTGATCATTCCATATTTAGAAAATACATATAACATTATAATCACATTTTATATTGTTTAATGTAATGTACGTTCTTATATTATACATATCAATACATTTCGTATGTAAGGCCTAATCTAATTAGGAAAGAAAATTATATGAAGATTATACTTTCTGTCTGGACAGTACAGTTTTATTGGAGAAGTAAGGGTGCCGCTAGAGTTAATCAGGTGAATCCCTTTGATGTAGAAAGGGAAGCAACCAAAGTTGACAGCTAAGATTCTCTCTTCTCACCAGTGATCCCAATAATGAACAGTATAAATAAAACCATTAAGCATGCTATACAAATTTTTATAGAAGATGTTTTTGCTTATACTGTATTTAGTTTGTGAGATTTGGATATTCCTATAGTATCTTTGCGCTCTAGTGCACTTTAGCTATCCCTCCTGAAAACTGATAGAGAATAGCCAATCATGAAGATGCTATTAAAATTCTTAAAATTATATATACTCTAATTCACAACCAGTTGGGTGCACCAGTTTTTTGTGACATGTTAAAATATGCATTGTTTGCATCTCAAATAACACGCAAAAGAAATATTTTCAAAAACATTAATGAAGTTTGTTTTTCACCCTCTATTATTAATACAAAATGTAAAGATTGTATGAAGAAATAGCAATGATTATTTGTGCATGGTGCACTGAAGCATTATGTTTTAACTGTTTTTATGATAGATACCACCCAAAATGTTGTCATATTCTTGTGAAACAATAATTATAACTATTTATTACATGAATATATTTTTTGTGCCAAAACTTTAAATTGTTGAAAAATAATTTTTGAATTTCTGATATTTTATAAAGAATAATAAATTTAAAATTCAATACTTAAAAATAGCATAAAAATTGTAAATTTAATAATAAGATAAAATTTTTGTTTACATTTATAATTTAATCTCATACAGGATTCAAACCTGCATATTAACACTCATGCAATTCCTTAACTAATCACACCACACCATAAACACGTGAATGGCACTTCTGCATAGATATTAATAGTTCTAGAAAAACTTTAATTGTGATTTTTTCAAGAATGCTTGAATAGTGGGTCAGTGGGTCCTGTGGCTTTGGTAGAGTTTAAGTACGAGTAAATACTATTGTATATCCACAAAATTTTGTCAAAATTGGTATTGACAACCTCCTGGGTTCCCCTTGTCAGTAGCAAAATATTCTTATGCTATTATTATTTGTTATTTTTGTCTAGTTGTAAATTCTGACAAAGAGAATGAAAGTATTTCCAAAGTACTTAATAAATATTCTTGTTCTAAACAAATAAGATTGAATATATAGTCTCCCAAAAATAATTCTACCATTTTAAGTTATTGCAGTTATGTTAATTATTATATGAGAATGTCATAATGAACATTAAAATGTTGGAAAACTGTCCTAGTTCCACATTTGTCTATTACAATTTCTCAATGCATGCACTTTGTGTCACATGGCATATGTCCAACCGATATTCAAATTCTTCCTATACTCACTATGGGACTGACGAAGACTGAATATTAATGTTGAAAACATTTGTTATTTCAATTAAATAATTTTACTGGATATTCAAAGCTTTTTGTGAGTCATTGATACATTTTTCCAGTATCCTTACAAGAAGGTATTTAACCTTTTCTCAAGGTATGGTATATCCATTGTCACTTCTCACATGGCAACCACAATTCTACAGCTCCTACAGACTACTCACATTGCACAATGACAAATAATTCTGACTTTGCAAACTGCAGAATGCAAAATGCCTTCTCTGTTATGGAATCACTATTTTCATTTATGGCACTTCCTAGAGGTAGTATACATGATGATGTTGGAATACAGATAGGAGATGAAAATTGAATAGTTACTCTGTTGATTGGTGTCGCATACTTCTTAGTTAGTGGATCATGTTGCATACTACTTAGTTAATAATTAACATAATTACAGTAATTTGAAATGGTAGTATTCATTTTGGAAGAATCTATATTATTAAGCTGGTCATTAATTTTCTGTTTTTACAAATAAAATTTAACAATGTAACAATGGCGTAGTGAACATAACTGGTGCCCGGGGCACGACACTTTATTGGCACCTTTCAGAAACACATATAGTTTGTCTTGGAGACCATTTGGGTGCCCTTCTGCGAGTGGCACCCGGTGCATGATACACCACCCTCTTGCACCCCCTCGCTACACTACTGCAATGTAATTTAACATATATAAAATTTGAGACTAAAGATAATGATTACATTTTAATTTAAAATCTTACGTTGTAGTTTTAATGGAGGCAAAGGTGGTAATGATTTAATTAAACTTTCTGTTTTGGTATCAAACACATTACTTGGAGTATGTTGCCTGTCTTCATCCTGAAAACAAAATTGAAACAATTAAAATACATGAAATAATTTTGCCTGCTTGGAATTGCATTATGACAATTATTGTTTGTTTGCACATGGAATATTAATCAGGAGAAACTGAATTCCTGAAATTCATTTATTGTGAATGATAGAAATAAAGATGAAAATTTAAAAAAAACCAAACAAAGGCAAATGTTGGAATGGATTAATGTTCCATATATATACAAATACATGAAATAACTTGACTTAACTTTGTTACTAACTCATATCTGCATTTTTTGCACTGATGTTTAGTGTAAAATATCCTGCTATGGTATGTTTGATGCATTCTTTTTCTCTTTGGCTATTGTCATTTGTAAAAGACACTTTTCTGTAGATTTTTGTATTCATCCTTCAATAATATTTTTAAGTTGGTGTATTATCAGAGAATATTGTAAGAACTTTTACTTCAAAATGGTGGTGATTGATTATTTTGATCTCATTTCCTCTGATGATTTCAAAAGTTCAATTATCTCTTTATTGGTTTTCAGTCTTTATTGCAATTTTGTTTTTAATCATAAGAATTTTTTGCAACATTTTAGGTATATATTCTTTGATGATTATCATTCTTCTCTCTTATCTGCATTTTCTACCAAAAGATTTATTTTAACTGTATTTTTTAATAAAATTTTTAACTCTCGAATTTCAAAAATAGTTATGTTAATTACTATGTCTTTTTGTAATAACTTGTATCAGTATGTAACTCATAATAGTGTATACCTCACAGAAAATTGCTAACATGAAAATAAAACCTTGCATAACCTGCACTACTATGTACTCACACCAATGGAAGTAGTCATTGCTCCATAGGCACAAGTTTGTAATTGCAATTTAAATTCAGCACATAACTCACAACCGCTTTAAAATGTATTTCAAATAGGCCTACAGATACCATATTTTTGTGCATACAACTCATGAGTTAACTATAGAAAATATATATTACAGTATATTTTCTATTTAAAATAAATTTTTAATTTTTGCATAAAAC